TTCTCTATGCCTCTGCCTTTGTCCTTGATCTATCACTCTGCAAATGTGTTTAGATGTAACAGAGACATAGTTATGTAAGGTCTGAAGTTTGGGAGATGAAAGGCAAAGTCGTTAGTGAGGAACTGTTTCCTTCATTTCCGGAGGCTCTGCAGGGCTCAAGCGGTTTCAAAACCCCAAACTTGAAACACAGAGTGCTGAAACCAGAATCCCAAACTTCAGATTGTGGTGATCAGGGGATGAAAAATCTAACTCTTACAACCTACACACCCACAGTGGAGTGCTAGGGTTCAGATTATTAGAATTAAAAATACAGCTGAAGTGCAGATCTATGAAGCCCTAACTGGGTCTGCCAAGTCTTGTCCTTTGGGCGCCATGAAGGCTGTGAAGAAAAAGTGTCTGTGGAGTTGAATTCTGCACTATGGAAGAACACCAGTGCCGGATGAAGAAGGGACTGTTGTTTGTGCTTCCTCTCTGAAAAGCTAGACAATCACAGGCACAATAGATGGATAATAAAAGAACCTTAAATGTTCCAAATGGGAAATACCCCGAAACTGGGACATTCCTGCCACAGGCTAGTCATGGGAAAGAGTTATTCAAGGGACCTATGGAGGGCCCCTGTGACATGCTTTTCTTCCTGTGTTTAAAAGAGAGTTCATTTGGCCAGTAAGCAGTAAACATTTTTTGGTTCCTAGAATATTTCTCGTTTCTTCCTTATCTTTAAAGCCCTATGCATCTGGATTCCTTAATAATAAGATGCCCGAGTTTCATAACAATACCTGGAAAGCAATACAAAGTCACAAATACAAAAATTTCCAAAGTAGGCATGAAAAGAGGCCTAACTGATTAAGTGGGGCTGAGTAAGCTCACTCAAGGCAACCCAATTTGGGGTATAATGATTCTGAAAGTTGATCTGATGGTATATATACACCTTTGTACCACCAGAATGAGAACACAGAGAGACACCACAATGCAAAGGAATTTTGGAGAAGCAGACCAATTGACTAAAAGATGCCAAATTCCAAACATTAACTGCAGAAGTTTATTGCTAAGGCTTAGTGTTTTATTTATTATTATTTTTGACAGTCAGCATCCAATATATATATATATATATATATATATATATATATATGTGTATATATAAATTGTATGCACAAACACTCTTTCCTCTCTCGCCTCCTGGACCACCCACACCTATAACATATCCTCCAATACTCCTTTCATCTGGGGGTCTCCCCCTTACCAATTGTGTCTGATGAGTATTGCCACAAGCACGTGAGTGTGGGGTCATCCGTGGACACATGGACAAATTTTCCTGGGGCATACTTCCAAAGAAGATTCATGTTCCCTTTCTTAGCTGCCAATAGCTCCTCAGGGAGGATTGGGGATGTTGAGAGAGCTCCACCTGCTTGCAATTTTGGGCTTCAAGACAAAAGTTGTGTAATTTGCTGCAAAATACCTTAAGGGTGACTCAAAGTCTCAGGAGAGCCATTGTGAAAACAATGGATTGAATAATGTCGTGAAAGTATGTACTCTAAATAGGAATTATGCCAACCCATCAACTTGTAATGAATAACAAATATCAATTGCATGAAGGCAGAATTTTTAAAATGTAACTGTAGAGAGAAATTCTGCCATGGATGAGAAAGATCCCATCAAATGGACAGTTCTTAGCAAGCTACTTATATACTATTTCTTTTAGAAGGGACAATGAAAGTCACATTAATTTGGGGACAGTTTATTAGAATTGTTGCTATGCAGATGCTTTTAGAATTATCAGTTGAAAGGCAGGGAGTGGAGGCAGTTAGTATTTTGTTTGACTTCATAGATAAAGGGGGTAAATGTAACAATTGATAGATTCAAAGTATAGCTCACTTGGTTGGACATCGAGTGCTGGTTCTTCCCTTAGTGGCGGGAGCAGTCCTGAGCAAACTCTTGCTGCTTGTGCATCAGAAAGCAAAGTGTTGGGGAGAGGATTTGGAGATGTCATGGGGTTAGCCCAGTACTTTTGTCAGTGCTCGAGGGAGTACACAGAAAATAGCTCAGTACATTAATGTTTAGGCATGTTAACACTGATTATAGCTGTGAGTGACAAACTCAGGTCTCATTTTACCAGCTGTGTGAATGAGATTGTCACTCTCTGGACATGGATATTAGACACATCTAACTTTTAGTTGGAGATCAACTGCTTCCATATTGCTGCCTCATGGAAATTATGGTTTGGAGTTGCTGAACCTTATGCACGAGGTTAGGAAATACACTTATAATGCTAGAGGAGGAGGCATTGAAATCACTTTAGAATTTACAACTTTTACTAAATATACAGAGGCATGCAGATAAGGTGACTCCAAGGACTGTGACCTCTGTGATTCAAACCACAGAAAATGTATTTCCTTAAGAGGCTGTTATGTGTGTGGCTTTGTTGAGTTTCATCCTTGCTGAAGACAGTGCTGAGACTCACTGCATGCCACTGTTTGAGGCACCCAAGCGTACACAGCTTGTGCTAAAAAAGTCCTCACCGTCTCAAACCTTCCATACTGAATGTCTGTGTGAAGTCCCCTCATCATTTCGGTGTACTCTACACTGGCAGAAGAACGGATTAAAACACACTGAGTGTCTATGTGATCTGGTTAGATTCAATCAACCTTAACCCTAACTGCCTGAGATGACATCTTTAAAAAAAAAAAAAAAAAAACCAGCTCACACCTAAAGGTGGGTGCCAGTGAGCCCAGGTGCATGTCAAGAAACTTCCAGTGAGTCTGACCTTTCATTTTCAGACCTGCCTCCCTATCTTACATTTTTTCATTACCAGCTCACAGTCCAATGGTATCAGCAAGTGTTTGTTACAGTACCAGAATGTTCCATTTGAGGATAAGCCCATTTATTGAAAAAAAAAAGTGTATTACTATAGTTGTGTAAAAAGAAAACAATATAGGTGTTCGTCAGGATTGATGGCAGAGGTGGAAGACATTTCCAGGAAGGGTAATATGTAAGGGAGAAATGTGATAATGGATAAGAATTAATGCAGGTAAAATCATACCAGGCAGGAAGGCAAGTACAGAGGAACACACTGCTTGTCCTCAGCCTGAGGCAGATGAAAAGGGGATACACAAAGAATGACTTTTCTACAGTGATTGGAAAGTGATATTGGTAAAAGCGACATTTTATAAGGCAAAGGGCATTTTAAAATGTCCCTAACGGGAGTTGGTATTGAAAAGAAGGAATTCTTTTCTTTAGTAGGTAAGATCTGAGTTAAAGGTGGGCATGTAACTGCAAGCATAGACTATGGCGTGCTGGTTTGGATTCCTGGAGTAGTAAGAGAGAAGATGCAAGATCGGAGTGCAGTGCTGCAGACGCATCTCCTGGGCATGAGTGGTCGCCACAGTCTTGAGGCATAGCAGCTCTGATTTCCTGTGCAAGCCCAGCGCAAGATTGAGCCCATCTGCGTCCTGTTAGGGAGAGCGCAGAGGCTTAGAAGGTTGTTGGGGGAGGGGGAGATATTTTCTTTACTGGTGTAACCACTGGTAAGGTGTTCAAAGTGCTGTAAACAAATCGTCACCCATGATCCTGTAAGAAGCACTAATAACCCCCCCCCCTCTCTCTCTCTCTCTCTCTCTCTCTCTCTCTCTCTCTCTCTCTCTCACACACACACACACACACACACACACACACATACCTTTAAGAAAAAGAAAGTCTTACAGATAGAAGAGGGATTAGTGGGAAGAGGAAGGTTCAGTGGGATGGGACCATTGTAATGGAGCGTATGATCAAAATACATTACACACATATGAACATGTCATAATGAAACTAATTTTTATCTATAACTAATATTAAAAACATAAAAACTTAAAAATTGATAACTATCCAATGGAGAAAGTATGCAAGATATGTGAGTTACATGGGGTGCTTATATCTAATATTTTATGAAAGTGCTGTAATACTTACACTTGCAAATGTCTTCCTAATGGCTGCCCCAGGCAAACTGCATTTGTTTATGAGCTAGACAAGAACTGGAGAATAGAT